ATTGGCCCCTACCTGGTAGATTGGTATTGATGTATAAGTATACACCACTGCACTCTGGGATAATTGGTTAAAGTTCAAAAAACTCTACACACTTTTCTAGAGCTTCATGAATAATAAGTATATTTTAATATTTCCTAAGATTAACATGTGCTGTTTATATTCCGTGTGTTGAACATTGATTGCAGTTAAAAAAAAAACCATTTTATCAAGTGATGAATGTATTGATTTTACAATGATGTGTGTTTTTTTTTTTTTTGTGTCTGTGTACAGCATAACTAGTCGAAATAATACTTCAATTTCAAACTTTGAGGGTGGTTTCCGATGTAAAAATGAATATCCTTGGTGCATTATTAAGGTCAAAAGTAAACATTTTCCAACAGTTTTCAAAAAAATCAACAAAAACAACAAAAAAAATGACAGAAAAACGGGAATTTTTACGCAAAACCAGTTTTCGACCTAATTGATTTTTTATATGGTTGTAAAGTTGTAATTCAAAAACTAATCACTATAAATACTTGAAATTTTCACCAAATGTTTATGTTAGTGATATATATATACAGTTTAATTTTGACTTTTTTTGAGTTGTTTATAGACCACTGAAATTTTAAATTTTTTTGAAGTGCCGGTAAAAAAAATGTTGGACGACCAAAAAAACTTGAAAATTTAATACAAGGTTCCTTATGAGTTGTTCTTATTGCAGCTAAAAACAATTAAAAATCGTAAGTCACAATTTTTTTTTATAAGCGTTTATAGTTCAAATTTTTACGAAATCTGTCGAAAACGCGAAAATTTGCAAGTAATTTTGAAGTTGAAAAATCATAAAATTTTTTGTGTTTATAACTAAGAATTAAGAATACAACACTAAGTTTTCCTTCAAGTAGGTATAGAAAAACTCAAAGCGTCATTAAAGGAAAAATTTTAAGTGCGTTTGAATTTTAAATTTTTACGAAATAGCGTAATGATAACGATTTATCCTCAAACGATTTTAAATATTTGTTATTATTCAAAAAGTATAAGTCGTAGATACTCGAAAATTCCACCAGTTATTTAGATTAGCATTTTCTTTACATGATTTTATTTTCGAAATATTTTGACTTTTTTTAGATATTTATAGACAAATGAAATTTTCAATTTTTCTGATAAAATCGTTTTGAAGTGTCGATAAAATTTTTTTGGCCCTATCAATAAACTTAAAAATTTAATACAAAGTTCCTCATAAGTCATAAGTTATTCTTAAAGTAATTAAAAAATTATAAGAATACATATGCACATTTTTTTTTATTAGCATTTGAAGTTCAAATATTGACAACAATTCGTCAAAACCATGAATATTTTTTTTTATGTCCGTCATCACGCTTTGGGGCAGTAAAAATTCTTCGATTTTAGACTTCAGTACCTTATTCGATCAGAAAGTGAATCTAGTTGGTACCACAGAACAATAATTTGGGTGTCAAAATAATAAAGGTTTTATTATTTTTTTTTATGTTTGTTTAACAACAATTTGGGTGTCAAAATAATTTTTTAAATAATCGGGATAAACAAACTAAAAATTAAAGGAAAAATGGGAAATTTTACGCACAATCAGTTTTCGACAAAATCGATTTTGATTTTTGATGTAACTTTAAAACATATGACCATTGGTACATGAAATTTTCACTGAATGTTTATATAAGTATATCCTATCCACCATGCAATTTTCAAAAAAATTTGACTTAAGTTAAACTAATTATAGGTATATGCAATTTTCGATCATTATTAGTTTTTTTTAAATTAATATCGATAAAAATTTATTTTTTGGGTRGAAAATCTTGAAAATTTAATACAAGGCTCTAAACATATTGTTACAATAGCAGTTTAAAAATAAAATAAATTCATAGTCGTTAGCCATTCAAAATTGTTGTTACTTGTTATCGGCTTATCGCCATGATAGATAACACGTGATAATATGTGTCGTTATTCAGATAAACGTTATCAGACATAAAAACACGTGTATTTGACGATGTTGTGATAAAATATGTGTGAACACTAGTCACTACTCACTATTTTATAGACCAGACAACACTACATGAGTACATGACTACATGTCTACACTCTACAAGTCTTCAACTTATAGACCTGAGCCTTTACAGTACAATACTCTACAACCTACAAGTACTCTTTTCACCGTCTTCATAAGTCAAAATTTAATTTTTATTTTGTAATATGGGTTCCAAACGCAAGTCCACCGTAAAGAAAAACGTAAGTAATCTATTATTTCTTTCGATGTATGTTTGACAATTGGCATTTGAACAGATCACAATTTGATTCTAGAGCGAACTAGGTGTTACCTAGCTTACTTTAATACAGTTTTGAACATGTTTTATTAATTATTTTTAAGCTAAGGAAAATCAAATAGACAATAGTTGCTCTGTTTTTAAAAATTAATTATGAACTTGAAACTTATAATTTAAAGTCTATTTGATTAATAATTGGGTAATTTGCTTTATACAGAAACGTTTGAAGAAATTAAAGAAAACCGTGTATGAAGAACCAGAAGAATTGAAAAGAGCACCACATTCATTTGTTATCCACAGAGGACAAATCGGTAAAAGTCTCTTACAGTTGGTCAAAGATTTTCGAAAAGTAATGGAACCATTCACTGCTGCTTCATTGCAAGTAATTAAAAAATCTAGTTATTAATTTGAACTTTATACTGATGCTTAATACTAAAAAACATGATTCATAGTCCAACTTTCTTTTTCCATAACAGGTGTACAAGAAAAACACAATTAAGGATTTTGTGGCCTTAGCCGGTCCTATGCATGTGTCGCATTTATGCGTATTCACAAGCTCAGATACCGGAGTAAACTTTCGTGTTGCCAGATTACCCCAAGGTCCAACGATGACATTTAAACTTATAAACTATGCTCTAAGCAAAGATGTTGTGTCGTCTTTGCGCAAACAAATGGTAAATCCAAAATTGTTTAGTCATGCCCCATTGATTGTTATGAACAATTTTACTGGTGAAGGACTACATATTAATCTAATGGCTACTATGTTTCAAAACATGTTCCCTACCATCAACGTCACAAAAGTAAAAACAATATTGATCATACTATAATATTAGATATTAATCAAATTTTTCCTATTTAAAACCAGGTAAATTTGAACGATATTAAAAGATGTGTTTTAATGAACTACAACTCTGAAACAAAATTGATTGAATTTAGACATTATGCTATTAAAACCGTCCCAGTTGGTTTATCCAAAGGCGTGAAAAAAATTGTTCAAAGCAAAGTACCTGACCTATCCAACTTTAATGACATTGATGAATTTTTATTAAAGTAAATTGTCAATACATTAAATATTGATATGTGCATGCATTCTAATGATTATTATCCTAAAATGTGTGCTCTTAATTTTGTAGACCAGAACTGTTGTCTGATAGTGAATTTGAAGAAACTACAAGTTCTAATGTTATTGTTCCGCAAAAATTGGTCAGTCGAGGCAACATAGTAGGAACTCAGTCTTCCATACGACTTAGTGAACTCGGTCCAAGACTCACATTGCAGGTAAAATCATACAATAATAACAGGGTTTTGTTTTGTTTTTTAATCATAGTTAATTAAAATTAATATTAATATGTTAAAACTGGTTTAGTTGATCAAAGTTGAAGAAGGACTCATGACTGGAGATGTGATGTTCCATGAATTCATCAAAAAACCAGACGAAAAAAAAGAAGAAGCTAAAGAGGACTAATTGTACAATTCATAACTCATATAATTATATATTAATGTATATATTTTACATAACTATAAAAAAAACAAAATGTATGTATGTTTTTTTGTCTATAATACAATTGTCAGTTTTTAATCATGCTTTGAGATGTTTATTAAGTGAATATCAAGATAGAAATAACTAGGTATGATCACGCAGCTCTTTATACACATAACATAGTACTAACGAAGGTGCGACTCAAATACATTGAATTCCCTAATTCAAATGTTATGCCGTTGATGTAACTTTTCATAGAAGAATATTATTTCCAGTGCTCAAAACACAGCAAAGCCATATATTTGAGGTGATTATAGCTAGTTATTTATTTCTTGGTGAGTATAAGAAATGATCCTAGATTATCTTTTATTAAATTCAAGAGATTTTGAATCTTATTTATAATTGATGGCAACAATTATCAGGGCATAATTCCTCAAAACTAGTCTTTTACTCAAAAGTTGTTATATTTACATGTATAGTATGTAAATTTATGATAAACTGTGACCCTAAACATACGATGACTAGAGGGGACGAGATGTTATATTTGGTCACCTCTGTATAGCCACACACACACACATGCGACCAAGTAATATTCTCATCATGTCTTCGTGGAACACATATAATTACACTCAAGCGTATATTTCCTTTAAGCTTTAGAAGGTCATTCACTCTAAATTCTAGGCTAATGGAGCTAAACGTGATATTATGAGCATAACATTTGTCATGTACTAGCATTATTAAGACAAAGACAATACTTGTGGGTATCACTTCGTCTTAAGGTGAGAAGATTTTCTCAACATTCAATCATTCAATAGAATTTTAGAACATAAAAATTTATTTTGAAGATAAATTATTTGATTTGTATTTTTTTATTTAGAACCACTGAAAAAAAAATTAGAAACAATAAACATGGATGATTCAAAATTTGGATATATGGGATTCTTGATTTAAACTCAAGTACTATTGACTTGTACAGCATAGATTTATCTTGGGCGTATGACACATTGATCAACTTTTTAAAATAAAATAAACATACAATAATAGTACACATTACTAGTTCTCAAATTTTATTACTTATAGTCTTAATAATAATAACAATACAAATAATTCCTTATGATAATTATAATAAAAATAAATGAACAGTACTGAATAATGTAAAACGATAATTGGTATCTTGGTTAAATAAAAATATAATTTTATGTTTCTTTATCAATTTCATAATAAGAAATAATTAATTAATTGTTTATGGAGTTGTGTAAATAAATTAATAAACATGTATTATGCTTAATATATAAATGGTGACAATTATTATATCACAATACTAATACACTGTCACATTGTCGTTCAATCAATATATTAATAATTTTAAAAATTAAACCTATTAAAGTTTTTAAACAACTATTTAACTTAAATTATCTCTGAGCTGACTTGGCTATTTGCTCTTTCAAAACAAGTATGCTTTGTCGCTGTTCTGCAGGCAGTTTCGATATTTGTTCCTCAGTTAATTGTAACACTTGCATGATTAAAGCCGCCTAAAATACAACACAAATTGATTTAAGTATTTTGTTTGGTGTAATGTAATTTTTTTTATGACAATTGATAATTAGAATAATAACCTTTTCAGTATCTGTAGAAGATCCGGGTTTGGCTGGTTGTTGTACAACCTGTGGCCGAGCAGGTTGTTGAACAGCCTGAGGGGGCATTTGTGTTGCTGTTGCTGCAGCATTATTGCTGTTTGCCCTAGGATCCCTTGAATAAGTTCGAATATCTGAATCCATTGATACTGGTGCACGAGGGTCTCTTGAAACCCTAAAAACATTGTATGACAATCACTTAGAAATCTTATTATTATTATTTTAATATGACTTACGGTAATGGTGGTGGAATAGAAGATTCAACTGGTATTGACGGCAATGGTTGAGTGATTGGCATTTGAATTGGTGGTTGTCTTAAATCTTGATCCATTACACGGCCACGGTTTACTTGTCTCAAGTCCATGTCTTCGACTAAATCAACCATAAAAAAAATTACAAGATAATTTATTGTAAGTAGAATTAATCAAGTTTCATACCATGGGGCTGGACCGTTGGGGGGATTGAAGACTTGGGCTGTGCCCACACATTAGTATCATTATTGGGCATATGAGGCATTGAATTGATGTTTGGTGTTGTGGTAGTAGAATTGTTGGGTATTGGAGTGGCTGGAACTTGGTTTGAAGATTGTAACATACTCTGTCAAATAATAAAATTTGAGTACAATAAACTAAAATACTGCATTTTAATAAAATAAGCAAAACTCTAGAGAAGAGCAACTTTAAAGACTAATATGTTTTCATAAAGCAATATTGATAACAATCTTTAATTTTTTTTATAATTACAGCAGCAACTTGAGGATCCACTATTTTCATTATTATTTGTGCTTGTAACAATGCGTATCCAAGTTGAGGATTCTGAAGCAACATGTTTCTAGCTTCAGTTGGATTATTCTATACAAAATGTTTAACGTGATATTAGTTTTAAAGTTAAATATTTTTCATTTTAAAATAGGTGAGTAATTTGTAAGTTACCTGAATGCATGCTTTCATTTGTTTCATGAGTTCATACATTTGTTCTGGTGGTAAAGATGCAACAGCAGTGCTTATGGCTTCTGGCGCTTTCTCTGCACTAACAGCTTCACCATAATGATTTTCCGAAGTAGGCATACCCATCATTAAAGCTGTAATACATAATCAATTATACATTTTGATACTTAGAATTTGGTAATTTATGAAGTGATTACACTGCATTTCAAGTCTAGACTTTTCTGTACAAGCGTTGTCAACGCGTAGAGTACGTCCACCAATTTCATGTCCATTAAGATTTCGCATAGCACTAAGTGCGGTTTCTTGATCTTTGTACTCGCAGAATCCATAACCTTTGGGTTTACCCGTTTCTCGGTCATATACCAGCCTACAATGGTGAGGTAATAAGTCGACAGTAATTAAAATAAATAATAATAAATTATACAAAGATTTATTAATGTATTGTACTTGAATGATATGACTGGTCCTACTTCACTAAATATATCTTTCAACTTTTCTTCAGTGGCCTCATACGGAATGTTTCCCACTAAAAGTATAAAAAACAAAGTGGTCAAGTAAAATATGTAACACACAAAATTACATGAATACCAAAAACACATACCGAAAACGCTCCTCATAGATTTATCTAAAATGTTTTGGTCGGTCATTTTCGAAAAGTATAGTATAATGGAATGATCTACTGTTGGATATTTTGGAAGTTAAATTATTGTTTTTCGCTGTAGTGCTGTACCACTTGTACCAGTAAAATTTATAATCAAAATTCGAAGCTGTAGCACGATACCGCAATGGTGTAATTTACTAATTTTATTATTGTAATACACTAAAGATAAATATTCTTATCAGTTATCCGGTTCTTGTAAATTCCCGTTTGTAGATAATAATTTGTTTACTTCAATGCATTTACAGTGTGACTACTGACTATTGTGTACATGTTATAGAAATTTGAACATATATTTAATTTTTCAAAAATTAATATTTCTGAAGTTGATTAGATTTAAATTTTGAAATGTAGGATTTGTTAGATTTCAGTGACAAAATTTAGCACAATATATCGTAAGAAATCGGTTCGCGAACACTGACCACCTTGATGAGTAGCCGAAATCTCCGCGGCCCGAGAAATTTACATTTTACAAACTTGGGAAACACTGATTAACAGCGTGATATTGCGATGGACGTCATCTTCATGATCAGGAACGCGGTMATTGGTTATTGATGAGTCATCAATGATGACCAATGACCAATGACCACAGAAAATATGATTTTCCAAATTTACCTTCTTTTTGGCTTTGTCTTTGTGCATCGGAGGAAATCGCTGGCACACTTTGGCACTTTGCAGTTTGCAGTGTTTGCACTCTTGAACCCAGAATACAACGGTCAACGATTACCATGATTTTCAATATTATACGATTACCTGCTAGAAAATTACTAAAATTTGTACACTGACTTCTATTACCTATAGTGATTTGATCGTCGACGATAATATTTGTAGGACACGAACATGGAATATTTTTGAAGTTGGAACCATTGAATAACTACTGCCTGACTAGTAACTATACTTAAGTGTGAACTATGATTTGAACAATTATCGCGGTTTTAAATAATATCACACATCACGGTCAGTATAAATAAATAACTAAATAAGTAGGTATATATCAATTATAGTCCAACGGTTCCCAACCCATGTGCTGGGTATACTTGTGGGACGCGATGACTGGTAAAAGGGATTGAAGAATTTTATTGGAATCAACATTGAGATGTAAATATGATTTTATATACGTCTATATTTCTTTTATCGTCTTATTTGTGTGTGTTTATATTATATACCTATACATTAGGTAAGCGGGCCTCAATGTTTTTTTACATTTTTGGTGGTCCGCACAATCAAAAAGGTCGGGTACCGTACCGCCGTCGTATACTATTATAATATTATGTTCATGATTTATAGTCGTGTAAAGTGTAATAATATTTATTATATTCAAAATGTGCAGTAATATGCAATTTGTCAAGAATATGTAAAATTGAAACACCGCCATTAACCATTTACTTCATCGCGAGGTGATTCGTGAACATTACTGACAAAAATAACATTCAGAAGATGCAAAAGAATACATTTTGTGTTGCATATACATAAATCCAACATTCAAGATGGCACTATACCCGCCCGTGTTGTCTTTGTCTTGCAAACGTATAGCATACCAAAAACTATTTTACGCGGGATAGAATTAGGTTGTAGTCATAACTAAGAAACAACATTTTCGCGCTATAAAAAGCAGAACATTTACTGTGCAACATCGTTTTTATTTTTTTGATATCTCAAATACAAAATATATTATTCAAGTTTGAAATAATGATTTTTCAAACATTAAACATTTTTTTTTTGTACTAGCGATATCGAAAAAATAAAAACGAAGTTGCACAATAAATAATGTCCTCCTTTTTACAGTGTGAATATTTCGTTTCTAAGTTAAGACTACAGCCCTCGAGTGGTTCTATCCCGCGTAAAATAGTCTTTGCCATGTTGTACGTTTGTAAGACGGAGACAGCACATCCGGATATGGCCTCCTCTTAACGGGATACCCATGTTCCACTCCACTCCGCTCCTCAAGGCATTAAATAATTAAGTACGTTGAATGGATCACCCATTTTACAGTACTTTTCATTTACTGMTACTGATTACTATTTATTTATTGTATAATATACAAGTGGGTTGGTATAGTTCGGTACACAAGTACATTTTATTAGTCAAGCTATTTTATCATTCTATATTATACTAATTGTTGCCTATTATCGTGATTACATTTATCGATTGACCCGGCCAAATTATACGGATTTATAATAGCATTTTTATAATTAATAATAATCATTGTTCGCATTATTATAACATTATAATTGTTGTTGATCGTATAAATTGAAGTGTTGTATAGGTTTAGCGGATTAGATTTAATTAGATTTAATAATATAGTACTACAGTACACGCGCATGCTCTGTGCGGTGTTATTATCTTAGCGTTTCTGTCGGAATTACGTTTGTTTGTTGAACGAATACGTCTTTTTGTTGCTATATTTTCTTTGTAGAAAAATAAAAACAACTTAATGGCAACGACACCGCATAAAAGAGTTGTGATCGTCGGTGCGGGTATTATCGGTGTGAATTCGGCGCTGGAAGTTCAGAGGAGATATCCGAATTACGACCTGACCCTGATAGCGGACAAGTTCAACGGAGACACTCTCAGTGACGGCGCCGCTGGATTGTTGCGGCCGGACACGTACATTTTTGGTCCCAGCCTAGAAATATCTCAGTGAGTTTACCTTATATTATTATATTATCTATTGAATAAATTAATTAAGCTCATCTCATGTTTCTTATGCGAATCCACAATTTTTTACCTGCAATTGGCACCGCACACTTGCACTCAAATTCATCGGAATCTCGCGCCGACCGTAGCCCGTAGCCTTCTTTTTACCCTGGAATTCTACTCCTATGAGTATTAGCTCATAAATGAATTTTCTTTCGGCTTATGAAAATCGAATATTATTATAGCATACATTACAAACTACATGGTTGCTAATTTGCCATTGGTTACCAAAAATAAAAAAGTTAGCATTTGCGATTAAAAATTTTGAATAATAAATCGGTGTTAGGCGTTTGCTATTTGCTATTATTTTTATTTTTGGTTTTAATTAAATTTTTTTCCGAAGTTCTTTCAGTGGAATGATTTTTAATTCCGTGAAACATTTTTTATCCTATATTCATTTACTGTTCTTGTATAACAATGTACATATATATCATTGATTAAATATACTTAATATTTTTATATTTAATCAATGTATATATAATATATGTAGCAAAAAATATGCAATAAAAATTTGAATTTATAAATAAAACTAGTCTTAATATTTCACTAAGATACCTACGTATTCTACCTGTATATATTATGTATAATAATTGAACTTATTTATAGAATTATTGCAGTCGTCTTCATTAATATTTATATTGGAGATGAAATTTTTATATAAGTGGTCACTTAAAATATTATATAGCTATACATATTTATAATTATTAATACAATAATATTTTAAGAGGAAGGAATATATAGCAGGCAGTGTTTCTTTAATTTTCAGTTTAAATTGTTTTTAATCATTTTGTGCATACGATTCAAACAGTTCTTATAATTTACTCGACTATAATTGCATTTTTTTTTTTCATAGGCAATGGGTCAATGATTCTTATAGTTTTTATGAAAATCTATTAAGAAATAGGGATGAACCATGTGGCATAAATGAAGTTTCTGGTTACATATTTTCGACTAAGAATCCAGATATTACAAAAGTAAGTAATAATTACACATTATTGTATTCCAAAAACAATTATTTAAGATCAATGAATTCGTTTATGACACCCATACGCGTCGTATAATTTTAAAAATCAACAAAAGTTGTTATCGATTATTTGATAATATTATATTATGGCATAAATGCATAATAATAATTAACTAACATAATTTAATAACTTAATTAACTAAATTTGCTAAATAAATGTCTAGAAAAATTTATTTTTATTGATAGTAAGTTAATATTTGAACTATAACAATATTTAAAACAAAAATATATTTAAAAATATTATTTTATCCCAGCATAGTTCTGTAAGCGGAAAAAAAATAATTTAGCAGTGAAAGGGTTAAATAAAGATATCGTTTGAAATTGAATATATATATATATATATTTATAGTGTTTGAAAACTTCATGAAATCTAAAATCATGAAATATTTAATTTACATATTTAAAATGCGTAAAATATTTTAGTATTATGATATAAACTCGTATATATTTATAGTTTTTTAAACAAGTTTTATTTTTGTGTTTAATTACCATCACAATTTTATGATATTAGGGAAAAAATCACTAACAGCTCATTAATGATGATTTTCTTTTGAAAATATTTCGTATTTCAAATACTATATAATATATTATACATATTTTCAATATGTACTTATCCATTATGTATATATTAATATTAGAACCATTACATGAACAATTGCTCACAAGACTTCAGAGAAGCTACTGATGAGGAATTAAAATCGCATTCGTTTGCTGAGAGTCAACTTAAAATAAAGTATGGTAGCTTCTTTACGTCGATAGTTGTTGAATGTAAACTATTTTTACCGTGGGCTTTAAAAAAGTTTGTATTTACTAAAATAATTATCATAATTATTTACTTTCTAAAAAACTTGAAATATATTCTTCACAAAGCTTTATAAAAATAAAATAAAATTTTTTATTTTATTGTTACTTATCATTATTCAAATAAGAAATTGCTATCTTTTTTCTTTTAGAATTAGTGATAACGGTGGAGCTATTATTAACCGAAAAATCGAATCTTTTGAAGAACTATGTGGAGAATATGATATTATTTTTAACTGCACTGGGTTCAGAGCCGGAAAATTATGTAATGATGTTAATGTGTCGCCTATTCGTGGACAAGTAATTCGGGTAAAATATTTTTATTACAATTTTACAACTTAAAAGTTTATATTAACAATAGCTTATTATATAATTTTTTGAATTACATTTAAATATATTTCTGAATGACAGATTTATAATTGTAACTCTAACTATAGTTATAATATTATAAATATTTTTCCAACATCTTATCTTATCTTTACGTTCCTACACGTAATTCAATAGAATAATTTACTTTAAATGTAGAATGATATACTATCATAAAATTGAATAAAAGGTATTTCAACATTTTAACTTTTTATCATCATGTGTAGGTCAAAGCTCCTTGGGTTGATAAATTTTACTATCTCGATTCCGACACATATATAATTCCGTCAATAAGCGACGGGACTGTTGTACTAGGTGGATGTAGACATTTTGGTAGTCATAATGAGCAGGTGAATGAACGCAACACAGAAGAAATACTGGAAAATTGTATCAGATTATTGCCATCATTAAAAGAAGCGTTAAAAACGGACTACAAAGTTTGGGTTGGTCTTAGACCTTATCGGAATAAAATTCGTGTAGAAACTGAACATATAAAAAATGATACCGTGGTAAGCACTTAAAACATAGTATTATCTTATAAAGATCAATTACTTATAACTTGAGACGAACCATATTAATGTATTAGAGTTAAGTTAAGATGTACATATAATTATACCAAATTACCTTTATAGTCATATATTATACTCATATCTATATTTGTTTAGATTGTACACAATTATGGGCACGGAGGATATGGAGTAACATTAGCGCCCGGAACAGTGAAATATGCAGTTAACTTATTGACTTCAGTTTACACATGATTTAACAACAAAATGCAGTTGCGAACTCGGTTATAGTAGTATATATTGTATAGCAGCACATATAATATAATATCAGTGTCAATTCTAAGGATTTTTGTCAACAACGCATTAAATTCACTATTCTTAACTGTACTAAAATATCATTATTTATATAAATATGATTAGGTATGTAACAATGTATCTAATAAAACATTCAAGTCAAATTTTATTTAGGTATATGTTTTGTGGGTACAATAATTTATTTTTATTGCAGGTTATTATGAAATATAAAAATATAAAAGTAAAATAAATGATTAAAATCCAATTGGACCATCACACAAAAACCATACATACATTTCACATATACCTACCTATGTACCTGACGTACCTGTACAGTATAAAGATGTATAACTATATATAATATACCTATTATACCTATACTATACTACTTACCAAAATGTGCATGCATATTTAAATAATATAAACATTACGCTAGATATAAGGTACACTCTCAAACTAATATTGTACGTCAAATATGAATACAATATACCAGTACAATGAGTAGAAAGCCGACGATTTGTAATATAATTATAGATGTAATTAAATCGAAAGAAACTAAGGCCCGCATACCTATTATATTGTTATAATTTTATAACGCATATAAATAGTGTATTATACAATATACATAATACTATACATCATACAAGTACGTGGTACTATGCCTTTGTTAAGCGTAAGCAAGTGCCGATAAGGTAATAGACTTTAAAAAAATAATCTTTAAAATAATATATAAAACTAGTAATATAATTTAACATGTAATATTTAAAATTGTAAAATCAATTCCCACAAAAATGTTGATATCGGTGGTTTTCAAAACCATTTTTAAACCATTTCACCAACCTCTTCGCCCGTAATATTAATATAATTATAACATTATCAACAACATAAAAGTGTACTTCTAAAAGCACACATTTTTTTCTCAATATCGTAAACACTGCTAACAACGCTTTACAATATACCCTGCTTAATATTATATAATGGTCGGTATGTTATTGTTTCGATTAGGTTAAAGGTCTGATTTATTACGGTTGTATCTTTATGATTAATCAAAACATATTCCATTAGTTATTTCAGAAATTAAATATTCTTAATGTATATTTATTTTATAAACGTTGATTATTAAAACTAGAGTAGTTGAGTGTGTTATTGCGTTTTATATTAGGCAGATATAAATATTTTAATATTAACATATTATATGTATAAATTATAAACGTTAAATATTTAATAAAAACGCTTTGACTTTAGGAAACAAATATCTATCGAAATTAATGACCAGATGTGTAATTTTATTTTTGCTGTTTTTTATTGAAAGTGATAATTAATTTCTTTACATGCTGCATCGTCTTTACACAACATTTCTAAAGTAATAAAACGAGTCATCACACCATATTATATAGTGTACTTATGAGTGTTCCTCCTCATTTGCTTTATTTTTTACAGGCATTGATTAAAATATATACAATATAATATTATATAATATTATACACAATATTGTATATTTAATCATCAATGTTACAGGTATCACTGTCGTATTTATCAACACCATGGTAACAAACAATTGTTTGACGATTACAATTATTTGTCTAAAAATGTAGGTAGACGTCGTATATGTTTAGAGAAAATCAATAGGTCCAAAATTAAATTTAAAATAATGCCTATCATCGTAAAAGACTTTTCTTGGTGGCAAACTGAGTGTAAATTGTTTTTACAAATTAAAATTCCACATATCTCACAGAAAAATGCCGATATTCTTACGTCTAATAAATATTTAAAAGTAAGTGTAAATTCTATATTTATAATGATAGTAGATACAATTGTGGGTAATTTGACACAGCGTGGTTGGCATCTAAGGTAGGTAGTGTAGGTACCTACTTAGGTAGTTAGGTACATTGTATTTTATATAATATAAATATTATACAGTATGTAAAAGAAATAGCTGAAAAACTTAATTAACTAGGTATGCAGCATCGTTAACTGTTCAAATAATTTTTTACATTATATAAAAATGAAATATGAAATAACCATAGGTAGTAAAATGTTTTTTTTTTAAATTGATAAGAATTAAATTGATCACAATATATTTAATTAATTACATTCGTCGATTCTTTCTAATAACTATTTATTTTTATATTTATAGCAACAGGGCATACATGATGTTTATGTTAACAGCAATAATACTCATCTCTCAAAATTAGGCATTAAAGTTTTCCTTATTTTGATAACATTTTTGAACCGTCATTTATTTATACTATGTATAATTGAATGACAGAACACATTTTAAAAATTGTAATCTTATAATTTAAGCATAAAGATAATATTTTTTACAATCGAATTTCAAACGAGTAACGCTCGGATTTTGTGGTAGAAATATGATGCTAATATGTTCCTAAAAATATTTTATTAAAATTAGTAAAATATTCAACAATAATTAATGAATTATCGTTATGTATATATGTTATGCGTGTAGATTAGCTGTTTACCGCATATTTTTGAAGCGATTCTCTGGGATGAAATTAATGAAGAATGTAGTAAATGTACATTTGATAATGGATGTGTTTTATTTGAATTACAAAAAAAAAATAATGTGCATTGGGAATGTTTGACACTAAAAAAATCAAAAGAGGAGCTAAAAAAGTTAAAATGTGAAATTTTGAATAACATCATCGAAGAATGCAAGAATAAATCTCATCAAAAGGCTGGTATGAATATGTTTGGTAAAATTAATTTTAATATAAATGCAGTAGAGGTGGACGTTACGCGTTTATTACTTTGAATGCTATAACATTTATTTTAGTATTTTACAATTTTTATTTTGCTATTCAATATTTTATATTACAGAATTTCATATCCGTTATTATGCATTATCCCTTAACCATAATTATCTCTACAAAAAATTGTTATTAGGTAGGTATAAACAAAAATGCAAAATGTTTCTTAAAAACTATTTTCAAAAATATCATCATGATGATCTATACTTTTCCTTTTATAATATATAAGATTTATATCATAATACGGCCAATGGAATGCTGAAGCTTCCTTGTCCCCCTCCCCCTTGGGTATGCCTCTGAGTGATCGTGAATATTGCTACTGGTAAGTACTGTATAGGTAAAGCTACTAAAGATGGGTCAAACTTACATTTTCACTAACTCAAATGTTTATCCTAACTTCATTTTTTTCTTGAATTAAGACCAAACTCAAATTGTTAAAAATATTTGAATTTGAAATATTCGATTTAAAGAATTAATTTATAATTCTTAATGAACTGTTTGAATTATTGGTTTTCGGAACATTTGAGTTCAATAAGTTCAAAAATCCATACTTAATATATATCCACGAAATTACAGAATTCGATCATAACACATAAATAATGATCAGATAAATCAAAAATATCCATTATTTATTTTTGGTTAGTAATTTATTATCCTATAGGTATAATAAGCAACAGGTAAAAAGCCAATATAAACATATTATTATAATTATTATTAAATATTATGTTTCTTTAATCTATATTTAATCTATTCACTAAATTACCGGGTAAACGGAAAACTGGTACGATCTTTATAAACACGGAATACTGGTACGATCCAAAATCATCAAGGTTTTCCAAAATTTTATTGAGAAATAAAATAATAAAATATGAACAATTATTAGATTCTGAGCGGAGCGATGAATGTATTGATTTTACCATGATGTGTGTTTTTTTTTGTGTCTGTCATCACGTTTTGGGGCAGTAAAAAAGCTTCGATTTTTGACTTCAGTACCTCGTTCGAATAAGGGAAAAACGTGAAATTTTACGGACACTCATTTTTCGACAAAATCGATTTTGGTTTTTAATGTAACTTTAAAACAAATGACCATAGATACATGCAATTTTCACCGAATGTTTATATAAGTATATTCTATCCACCACGGAATTTTCAAAAATTTTCAACTTAAGTTGAACTATTCATAGRCATTTGAAATTTTCGATCATTATTAGTTTTTTTAAAATTAATATCGATAAAAATTTATTTGTTGGGCAGAAAAGCTTGAATATTTAATACAAGGCTCTTAACATATTGTTACAATAGCAGTTGAAAAATAGAAGAAATTCATAGTCACAATTTTTTTTTATAAGCATTCAAAGTTTGAATTTTGACAAAATATGTACAAATCACAAGAATTCACAAATTATTTTAAGCTAGAAATTCATAAAAAATTTCTTTTTAAATCTAAGATTTAACAACACTGGATTTCACATTTAGCAATTTTCTCATTTTGGTGTAACTCTAAAAATCTAAAACGAATGACCGCAGATACTTGAAATTTTCACTGAATGTTTATATAGGAATTTTCTATATTTGATAAAATTTTCAAATTATTTAAATTTGTTTTGAGCTGTTTACTGACATTTTAATTTTTCAACTTTTTTAGTTTTTTTTTCTATAAATATCGATAAAAATTTATTTGTTCGGTAAAAAAGCTTGAAAATTTAATACAAGGCTTCTAACACATTTTAACAATAGCCGTTGAAAAGATTGGCAGAGTGGAATGGTACGGGGTTACCCCGCAAAATGTTTGTCCGTCACTACTCCGCTTGTCTAAACTTTAAATACTTATAACTCATAAACTACTAGCCCTAAATTCGCTTTTTATGTATCGAAATACTTAGAAAAGTATTCTGCTGTGGAATATGAAATCAAAACTCTGTTGTCATTCAAAAAAGTAAMAAACTTAAAAAATGATAAGGATAACAAATATTTAAAAATGTAATTTTTTAATAAAAACGTTGGTTTTTTAACAACTTGAAACCATGTAAAAATATTTTGAAAAAAGTCAATACTTTTTGAAATAATGAGTGTTGTTTGATAAATCAATCACCCTGCTGTATAAAGAAATTAAAACAGGACAATTTTTAAATAATATATAGCAAAGTGTGTGAAATAGTTATTGTTGATCATAAATTTTGTATTTTATATTTATTTCAAATAAGGACTTGCTACTTTGTATGTACTTATTTGTGTTTCTTGTTCATTTTGATTGCTAATATTATATTTTTGTTTTTAACATATTATTCAAATTTAACTTGTTAAAAATGATGGTGATTCATTAAAACTATATAAAAATTGTAAATATTTTAGGACCCTTGAAAATAAAATTAAAAACATTAGTGATGGTTTAGTTTAAATGAAAAAACCTAGTCAGATATAGATTTGTTGTTTGCAATATATTAATTAATTACTAATTGATGTTTTTATGATGTATTAGTCGTTAAAACAGAACGAGACCGATTAGCTGTCAAGGAACAAATAAATTTTGAAAACCAAGAACACCAACTTATTCAAAGTGTTCGTGACGAAGAGAAACAAAAAGTTTTGAAAGAGTTGAGTTCGTGGAAATCAAAAACAGAAATTATATACGATAAAAGTACGAAAATTATTTGTATGATAAATTTATAGCTATTGTTAAATGTAGGTTGAATATTGCGGAGGTGGGGAAACTTTTTGGTAAAGATCTACTGAGAATATAATATTTTCCCTTATGATACCATAATATACATACAGCTTTATAATGGTTGACAACGATCCCTGTGATTTTTTGGGTTTTTTTTAAATGTATAATAATATAGCTTAACAAAGAGTGGAGGGTCAAATTGTAATTCGCCGATCGATTGTTTAGCCGCATTTGCAGGTATATATATTGTTCATTTAAATGGCCATACAAATTCTGATGAGAATATGAGATGATATATACAGTGATGCAACCATCATTTATTTTTGAGAGGCACAACTCCCCAATATAACTCCATTTTGGTTTTAGATTGCAACCCCGTTTGGTTGGGTACTTTTTCTATGTTAAAAAAATTGTGCATTTCAAATTTCAAATAAATACAAATTAAATAGATAATAATATTATAAGTAAATTGGTTGTTGTAAAATATTAACAAAGAAATGAGAAGGAGGAAATAAACCTGAATCAGTTCTATATAGGGATAGAACAAAGATATTAAGATCGTTTAATGCTTATTTTTTCCGTACCCATTTAACTTCATTTTTTTTTGTTCGTGTATTTCATATAGGAATAAATGAAAAAAAAAATAAAGACAATTTTTCAACGGATCAACCGATTAAGATTTACGAGGTAGAAAACACACCGACTGAATATCAATTGCCAAGCCCTAGAAATTTTAAAGCAATTGAAATAAATTTCACACCTAGACACTTTACTACTCCGAGTAGAGAATCAACAAAAGCTGACGAGCAAGAGGTATAACATTCTGTATAGACGTTTCACGTAAATTAACAATATCGTTGTATTATTACGATTATTATGTAAGACCAATGTGAAATAATATAATCGGTTATCTATATACTGTAGTGGTTACATAAGCAAACAGCCGCCAGAAGGGCTGCAGGATTTGTAGAAGAAGACTTAAGACCAGAAGAACATGACCCCGAATGGTGTTTGAAAAAAGGAAAGTGAGTAACTTATTATACTCATTTATTAGTGGCATATACTATTAGTTGAAAAGTTGGATAGGCATGACCAAGTCATTGTTCATTAAAAATATTTTTGACTTTTTTTTAATTAAAAAAACTATTTACTACTTTTTATTCACATTTTTTTTTGCATGTAGAAAAAATATAAGTATTAGTGGTACCGAAGTCATTTTTATATACAATTTAAGTTTATTATACCATTTATTATTTACATTTACTACATATAGGTATAGGTAGAGAAATGAAAAAAAAGTTTTTAATAACAATATGTATATTCGTTACCACTAAAATAATAAAATTTCGAAGTTCATAAATATTTTATGATTTATGAGGTATCAATATTTGATTTTTACATTTCTAATAGTTTGTTCTTTTATTTTATAACAGTACATTTATGACAGAATTAAATTATATTGGAGCATTAAGCGCTTATTCCCATGGAATAAAGTTGAGTCCAAAAATGGCTGTATTGTACTTGAACAGATCTAAAGCCCACATTCAAATAAAAAACTATCACAAAGCCGTCGAAGATGCAACAACCGTATGTAAACAATATGCAACACATTTAATTTTGAATAAGAATCGTAATATAATATTTATAATACTTATAATAATATAAAATACAATCGAACGTGTCTTGACTAACTGAGTAACTGATTAACATAGAGCCTAAATTAATTATGGTAGCTTGAGACTTCAAATGTTCATGGAACCTTCACATTATCTCGTAACGGTGTATTATGAATGATTTTCCGAATTTGAATTTTAAAACGTCGCTCACTCAAGGATTTTGAGACTCACGATGAATATTTAATTTGTTTGCATTATTATAATGGCTGTCTTTAATTACATATTATAATAGAAAAAGTAGTAATTAGTATTTATTTTTTTTTGTATATAAATGGTTGAAACCGTTGAAAGGTTGTCATTGGTTGCTCGTGGGCCATAATTTTATAAATAATTATTAATATATATTATTTCATTCTATTTGTCTTAATGTCTCGGATATATTTTACCAACATAGGCGTATATAGGACATATAGAGGATCAAAATAAATGCGCGTATAAGAGGGAGTAAAAGCCTAACATTAGAACTACCCTCTTTCAATGTAAATTTATAGGCAGATAATTTTTATGAATTGCGTTTATGAATGTTGCGTTTTGGAATACACTCCAATTTATTAAGCAACACGATTTACTAAAATAAAAAAGCTTATCATTAATTAAAATTTAAATATCTGAAAATAAGTATTTATCACGACCCGGGCCGGCTCTAGCTTTTTCAGCACCCAGTGCAAGTATTATTTCGGCGCCTTTTACCCTCCTTTTAAACATATAAGCAGACAACCGCGCCACCCCTGATTTGGTACCCTGTACCGTCGCACTCGTTGATCGCATCTGAAATCCGGCCCTGATCACCACAGTCTGGTTTCCCGGGACACCTAAAAATAAAATGTTCTCACCTTGTGGTACAATTTACGCGCATGTGCAGGCGTTGGAGTTGATGGTGCCGGTGGTCGATGGAAACGTGGGTTGGCGAGCTGAGGCGTATTACAATCGAGGCAGAGCGTTGGTCGAGCTGAATACCGCACACTTGGCCGTCGATGAGCTCAAATTGGCTTTGACATTGGCGCCAGACCAGGCCAAAGTCTACGGACCAGAGTTACAGAGAGCCATGGAGTTGGCACCAGCGCACGAGCAAGAACAAAAAAAGACTCGAGAATTAGACTTAAGTAACGCGCCGACCATTTGGTGTAAATGAAGAATATTGCCATTACTATTATATTATTACTGTTATTTCACTTGATATTCGGTCAATAGCTCAATAACAAATGCATAGGACAAAAAAATAATAACAATATATTACATTATTACAAACCAAGCAATGACATAATAGTTCGATTTGAGATATGTATAATTAAATAATTGGATTAATTAATGACAGGATAGTGTTCAAAGAATATTACTTCTGATACTGTGATTTCGGCACAACATTCCCGAAACTCTGTTAACATTGTGGTAAGACTTGACTGAAGCGCGACTGCTGTGCAAATTCATCAGGAACACGATCATTATTAAGTTTATGTATTGTAATTTATCATATTTTTTAATATTATATGAACAGGTCCGTGGCTGCTATGACCATGCCATATTTTATTGTCGCACTAACGCGGGTAACTGAAATATTTTTATCGGTTTACCCCGAATTCACAACTATTACGTCGTCTGTCGCGTCATGTTCAATGGTTGAGCTATAATGGTTATAAGAGGTATAATGGACTGGAAACAAGCTATTTATCTGTGGCCATTAATGTTTGTATAAGAGACAAGACTACAAGAGGTCGTAATAGGCTCCGAGAGCAGCTTACAACGCCATCTATATAAAACATAGACTAAGATACAATATGTGACGCCAAATAAAACCACCAATAGTGCTGAAAATATTCGGTGCTCAGACAGCCAAGCTGGGCAATTTGGTAATTTTGTTCAACTAGTTAAAGTTATATAGATACTTCATACTTAAATCACTTAAATATAAAAACTAACTAAATTGGAATATAAGTCAGTTTCTAAAATTTTCCAAGTTTCCAACTACTTAGTTGAAAGTTAATTTGAAGAAAATAGTTACTTAAGTTAGTTTATTTTTTGTTCAAAATATGTTAAGTATTATATGAATTAATTATCTTTGTCTCGGTACCTAATTTAAATATTATTACTGACAATAGCAAAATTGTAACTAACAACTGAAAATTTGATCAAATGATTCAACATTCAACTATTCAAGTAGGTAGGTATAGGTTTTAAGTAGGTAATAACTAATTACCTCTCTATTTTTTGAAAATAAATTGGAATATCAGTTATTAACAGGCCATATACTAAAATATTAAATATACAAACTGTATGATACTATATTTGTGTATGTATGCATGTTGGTCAATATAGTTCTAGATGGTTAACATKCCATGGCCAATAGATAATAATAGTCAGCACTAAAAGTTTTACGGAACATTTGGGTTTATAAAATGAAAAAAAAATAGTTACTTATTGCTTATAACGAGTTGGATTAGATTACTTTACACTTTCAATACAACTAGTTCAGTATCAAAATTATAAATTAAAACTAACTTAAGGTATAAAGTTAGGTTACTTAAAAACTAGCGTTCCAACTTAACTTTAACTATCTAACTAGTTAGTGACCAGCTTTGCTAGACAGTGTGAGGAACCTTTTAGTGGTCAACCCCCTATCCATACCAATCATGTCGTTTTCAAGTCCATTATATCTTATAGTCTTTGGTTAGGAGTGCAGGTCCAAATCTGGCAATTTTCCCGATAGAAGGAAATATTGTGAAATTTCAATATTTTTTTATGTTTTATGCATTCATTTATGCCGAATTTATGAAATCAATTTATTTTAATACACCTAATATTAATATCACATTGCTATAATTTAATAAATACTTACCAAAAAGAAATCTAGTTAAGGTTTTAATTTTTATCAACTTATGGCGAAGACATATCCACCCCTATAGCCAACATGTAATGAAAATTACTCCATCAAATACATCATCGTCCATTTCCCAAACTTCGATGAAGCTAGGAAAGACTTCAACATCCCTGACAACCCGTACGGAGCAATATGTCCTTACTCCTTTTTCAAATAACCAAAACATAATTTTATATCTTAAAAATTCGAATTGTACTATGCATGTGACTTTGTAAAAATGTACCTAATACTTTTGCTAAAGCTAATAACCAATGCTTAACCAATAAAAAAAATTTCTATGAAATCAAACATGTTTGTGATTTACAAAAATACAGAATTATATAAATATTAATTATAATATAGAACTTTTTCAACAACTAAATAATGATAAAAGTTTTAAGCTTTATGATAATAATAGAGATATGAAGTTATAGGTACCTTCACAGTATTCATCATGATACAATTATTAATATATTGTACTGATTACAATTTACAAGTAAAATTGATTGTAAGATTAAATTGTAAAATAGAATATTTGCTGGACAATCAGTATTTTTACATTACTCATTTTTTAATTTAATTGTCAACGATATAGTAATTTTAAAAACTAATAACTAACTTTTCTAGTTTGTCTTAAATAAGATAAATGTTAGTTACCCATATATTTTACAATATTTTTAGAATAAACAATGCACCTTCCTTTTTCCTTTATAATAATATAAGACATTATATTGAGTATCATTAGTTAAATAGCTATTATAAATTTTAATTTTTGCCTGACAATCACTATTTTTTAACTTTTTTTTATAATTTTATTCCATATTTCATTTCTATTTTTGTTCATTGTACGTTTATCGACTCACTGGTTTCTAATAAATTCTGGTATTGTGTATCTATTTCTCACATAAGTTAAATAAGTGAAATGTATCATAAATTCATAACGGTTTGTATTTATACTTGTGTCTTGTAATAATATGTTAAATACCTACCTATTTATTATACCTATTTTTTTGTAGTGCAAATAAATACATACCTATCAAGATAACTGTATACATTAAAAAATGTAAAATAAACATTAAGAATATCAATGTCTAACCCGATAACTATGTTAAAGTATGGTATGGAGATGGACATTAGTAAATAGTAGCTATTATTGGCGGTAAAAAGTAAACTATCTTTAAAATATTATACCTATACAATGTATTTAACCTACACTATAATGATTAATTTTTAGTGGGGATTTGTAATTATATTAATTATTTAAATGGTAATTATATTATTTATACTTATAAGTTGTATCTGTAAAAACTTAATGTGTGCACAATAATATATAAGAAACTATCTATTTATTTACTTTTCTAATCATATATAATTTATAATTTATAATTGTATATTACGTGGTATGTACCCACTCTAGTTTACTACCTTCTCATATATTATATTTATAAATACCAGTATGTACAAGTACAAGTTATTTTTATTATAATTTATATATTAAGCCATAGCCCAAAAGGATTTAACTATATTTTGTTTTTTCCGTCACCGTTGAACACGACGTAATAGTTTGCCACCGCGAAAACTGCAGTAGCTCTCTCGTAAGGTGTTGAATTTGTTTAACTTTTTGTACAACATAGCCATAATTTACTTTATAACATCTCTTATTACATAAGGCGTAATAGCCCCGCGACTCCTATCCTGACAAACGTTTCTTTCAGAATATATCATGATAATTCTTTAATGGTTCAATATGGCTTTATTAGTGTTTTACGATCCTATAATAGTAGAAATTAATATAGTACAATAAGGCGTACAGGAACTCTTAACTTTTTCATATTCTTACGAAGACAAGTGTAAAATATGATTTCACATTTAACTGATATCTTTTGAAAAATTAATGGATGAAGGTAAGAAAAAATAAAATGTAACCACTAGCTGTTATAATTTCAAATACAAAAATATATTTTTATTAGATCCATACAAACTTTTATAATTATAATAATAATTTAAATGGAACAATATTATTAGAAACTTATTTCTATAATAATATGCATAGGTACAACATTTACTTTATCTTTACGTTAAGAGCACAAGTAATTTATTATTTACAGGTATTGGATGTAGGTTTTGTTTGTTATAATATGTATAATTTATACAATACAATATAATATTATCATGTTAAAAATTAATACATAAAGTTTTTAACATTATAGGTACATAATTAGTGTAAAAACAGATACATAATACAATTACTTATCTATATTCTACCACTGTGGCACAATACTTACATAGGTTTAAGTGATGAAATAATAATGTAATATAGAAATATCAATGGTAACATATTATAGTAACACACATGAGTATAATATACTGGATCATATTAAAGAAAACATACGATGAGTACTTCGTAATGTTTTTGAATGAGATGAAATTAATTTGTCTTTTATTTTATATTATTTGTAGAGAATTCCAGATTCCTCCGTTTAAGTCCTAAAAAACAACCCTATCAGTCTTTTCGACCTTGTCGATTACACAAATGTATGCCGTTTAAAACAAACTACAAATACAATATACAATACAATATTACGCAATACACTTACGGCGTGCATATTATACAGGAATCTTTCTACATACAATCAATAAATATTAATAAAGTATAATATCTAACACGGGTTCAAAAAAATCAAATTTCTTTGTTCACCACGACAATTTCAAAAAATATAGTAAGTATACTAATATAAATTTAAAATAAATAATTTAAAAATTAAAAATAATAATCCGCTCGGATTCATCTTTCGTCCTAGTATTTGTTGGTGATTTGTCTGACCCAGTCCAAGTAGTGCGACACCTTGACATAGACACCGGGCACGTCAGGCTGTCCGCATCCCACGCCCCAGCTGACGATTCCGACTAAGTACCATGAACCGGCGCGCTCACAAACCAATGGACCACCGCCGTCACCCTGTAAACGTATAAGAAAATATCGCCGTTGATCAGATAAATTTGAGTCTTTGTAAGATGCTAGATAAATCACCGACTAGTTTAAGAGTATGTGTACAACGTGTACTTCGTATTATACATTATAATACGTTTTTCTATCGACGTACCTTGCAAGCGTCTTTTCCTTCTTCACCACCCGCGCATATGAAACCGTTGTGCAACTTGAAGTCGTACCCAAGGCGGGTCTGCTGCAATTGCGTTTCGCATTGGCGATTAGAAATCACTGGTACGTCCACTTCCTATGCACAAAAAAAAATCGATTATTGGTGTTATAGTTATTAATTCTATTTCGACGTAATTGCCATCATACACGCTCATGATTCTCGGTGTTGTCATTTGCGTACGAAAACGAGTTACAGTTTTTTTTTTTTAATAAACTGTAAAAATTATTTTTTGTAAAAATCATCGTTTCCCGCTTCAATATGACAATCATAATTAATAAATGTAATGGTATTTTCTAAATTATTGTGTTAAAGAACTGAAAATCCTGTTTTCTAAATCAATCGGGGGATACTTGTAGCTGATCATATAGGGTTTCCACCGTTATTTCTAATAATTAATGTTGAATGTATTTTATTAATATTTTTAATATTAAAAACACTAATTTCTTCCCGACGATATTAAAAAAAACTCATTAATTCGCATCATTGAACAAACACTGAAATTAGAATTTCTATTTTTTTTTAACAATTTGTAAGACTTACCTTTAGAATATTCTGGTATTTTCCATAATCGCCAAAGGCGTCTTTGCCCCAGCCGGTTGTCCAGCACCGTTGTCCGGTGAAGTCGGAGAATGCATCCGGCAAGCAAGCTGGGCTAATGTGTGGGTTCCGGGAAAAGTCAACGGGCTTGTCCATTCGCAGTATAGCCAGGTCGTTGTACAACGTGCCGGCATAGAACTCACGGTTTATGACCATATTGACAACGTCTGTTTCTACGTACGGGTAAAATTCCACGTCGTGGTTTACGTCCCATTCACCTAAACGGACGCGCAAGTCTTGTTCTTGGTACCTGTGTGCACGAATAAATTAGGTAATAATAAATAATTGAACTCTTGGATATTGGGATGACAGAATAAATATAATCTAACATTTTTGAAACTTACGTCTTGATACAGTGGGCGGCAGTGAGCACGTGCAACGAATCGATCAGTGTACCTCCACAAACATAAACACTCTCCTGAGGGTCCTTCTTGAGGATAGCCACTTGCCACGGGTATTCACCTGCAGACGAAAACAACATCCGGTGAGTTAAAATAATATAATATAATAATAATATACCCTCGTTAAGGTTGGGGTGCCAGTGTGACACATACGTATTGCAGGTTGGAGCATAATTTTAAAATAAGTAGTTATATTAAGTGCCGCATACCGAATTCGCTATCTCCGTCAACGTATGCCGGCGTCTTGATCCTTCCGGTGATTCCGTGCGTGTTTCTCTTACCGCATTGTCCGGCGCTAACGTAGTTGGAAGATGAACCCGAATGGATAGGTACTGGTGGTCGTCTGCAGCACACTTGTCTGGGACCGCAACGGCCATTAGCCGAATACGAAGACTGACGCTACACACACACACACACACATTGATCGTTTAAGTCTACGACTATACGTTTCGCGCGATGTTAATTTCGATAATGATTATTATATTTAAAATAATATTATTGTTATTTGAATACGCGTTATGGTTAGACAATTTTCGCATGTCTAAAACGGTTAATAAAGTGATGTTTGTAATGTGTTTAATGTGATTCTGGTCAAATGAAAGGCGTTGAACCAAGTAGCATAGCGAGTTAAGCGAGTGTAATAAAATAAGTACATGTTTATAGTACCTATTTTTGATTCGAAATATAACATTATTTTCGGACCAAAAATATGGCATGGTACCTATATTAAATTACTCATATTTGAGCGTTTATCGTTTCGTTTTGTTAATTGATGATTAATAACCTATCGATGATATTATTATTATTAGGTACGTTTAATGTGATCCAATTTCATTGCATAGAAAACATTGTTATTTACACTGCATAAAAGGTATACATTTATTGTGTGAACATATCTTAGAATTCTTAGATATTTAGTTAGAATTTTGTGTTATTGTACGATCGTTTGCKACGACGAATCGAAATCGCGTGCAATTTTTTGTTCCAAACATCTGTTATATTTAGCGATTAGTGTTATGTATAGCTGGGTGGTAGAGCCAAGTCAAATAGAATATGGAAATTGGGGATAAGACATTTCGTATACATTAGTCAAACTTCTAGGGCGGGAGGGTATATGCACATTTTTTTGAAATTGTGTGGTTAAATTAATTAAAATACGGGCTCCCAAAGACGAATTTTTGTTGTTTCCGAAAACAGACCTGTAGGAAAACCCAAACCTCCGGTAGGTATATATCATTAGAAACACGTTGACTCCATTTGACTTTGTTCCGTTCACCGAGACGATTGGAACATATATTTTGTGCCACCACGTGTTAGTGTCGGGCCACAAGTAGAAACCCGACAGTGTTACGTTTTATCTATCTCACCTCTTCCACATCTCTTTTGCTTCGTTGGCTGCCACCTACGAATTTAATGGACCCCGTAGACTGTCGGTCGTTGGGAAAAGCTACTTTTGGACTACCCGCGGCGCCGAACGACGACGATTCGTCGTGGCTATTGTAACCACCGTTGTCACTACCACTGTTACCACTACCGGTTACGTTGGAACTCCTATAGTACGAGTCAGAATCGAAATCGTCAGATTGTTGGCCGTAATAATCTCCGGCAGGTGATCCACCGTAACCACCGTGGTCATCGTACTCATCCTCCCTGTACGAGTGATATTCGGGTGCATAACCACTGTTACTATAACCGCCATAATAACCACCACTTCCGTAACCACCACCATATTCACCTCCTCCGTATCCCCCACCAAACGATGGCTTGGAGTGGTAGAATGGTTTGGATGGGCCGTAATACGAAGGGCCGCTATGATGATACGGTGGTAGTGAAGGTGGAGGTGGCACGTGGTAATGGTTATGTTGGTGAAGATATGAGGGGGGATATTCGTGTCCATAACCACCGCCGTAGTGTGGTGACTTGAGCTTGTGTACGATATCGCCGACTTTGTGCACTAGGCCCGCGTTGGGTGTCACGTGTAAGTTCACCCAGGGTTTGACGATTTTTTCACCATACTCATCTTTGCTGACTTGCAACGACAATAACGGGTTAACGCTGACTAAACCCAGGTTAAGGCCGTTACCACCCCCCAGGGAATGGCCGTATGGGTTCACTGAGGGATTGGGACCATAGGGGCTAATTGGGTAGCCACCACCGCCGCCGGAAGGTAGTCCAAAAGATACTCCAAACGTGGGTCGGACTTTGACGCCGGAACTTCCGGTGTCGTCAGAGTCTTCGGCTCCGCCGCCTCCTCCTCCTGAACTGCCCCCGAGAAGACCCCCGAATTTTCGCTGTAAACACATACACACCACCCGATCAAACCTATTCTGCTGCCCTACCGTTGTCAGATATAATCGTATTGATGGGATGTATTCGTTTCAATGTAGGTATAATTTTTCAGGTGAGCATAATATAATCGAGAAATATTCGTATATTATTTTCATAAAACTATTTTGATCGAGTTAAGATGAATAAGTAAGGTTTTATGAGCTATGCCAAAAAATGTTAGTCAATGTACAATATAAGGAAATTATTATGTTTATATTTCAATCAGTTGTTATTGTTATTGTTTACGAACTAACTTCATTCGTGTTATCATTTAAATAGTATATTTACTATGACAGTACCTATGTCAATACATATGAATAATTTTGTTAATCGTATTCACACCACGCAATGTGATCATTTTCATTCGTTAACTGTTTGTGAAGAGTGAAATTTAGTGAAACAAAATGCAAATACAAAATAGAATGTAATGTATACATTGTGTATACCTATTACGTCATTCAATATTAACATAACAAACATATAGAATTAGAATACAAACGTGGTCTTTCTTCTGGTCATAACCGTGTGTTACACATTTGTCTTTGTCAATACAATTTTTAGTTTTTCCATTTTGAAATATACCCGGGAGAAAATTTAAAATCGTGTAAAGACAAATAAATGAAAATATTATTGAATACTAGTGCAAACTGCATACAAACGTAGTAAAATGTGCGATATTATTTGCTCGAATGACAATTGAAATATTATCAATTCAAAAAAAAAATGTCAAGTTACTTAGTCACAGTTTACATGTAAAATTTGTCAGATATGACTTATTTAAATATACCTATAACGGTTATRACATTATGTATATATTATATATTTATATGTTGAGGATTTTGATAGCGCTGAATGTATTTAGAATTTAGATTGTACGCGGAAAAAATAGTTTTCATATTCTTCATAATATTACACACTTTAATGTTTCGCAACGCTTCCGAACGGAAGTAATATTTTTTTTGTGTTTTCCTTTTCTTTTTTCCGAGTCTACGGTCTATGATCATTATTGTTTGTGTTTAAATTATATGTATAAATATAGTTAGGTATGCGTAGTTAGCAATTTTCAACTCGTTCCTTATTTTTTTTTTTTTAAGTAGGCAAGTGTAAACCCGTTAGTTAAACATGTAACGTATTGAGTGAGTGTATTGTGATCAGAGTGTCATGCGTGAAAAGTATTTTTCTCGTATCGGCTACTGGAAATTTGAATTACGTTAAATTACAACAGTGATGAATGATAATTCATTTATGCGATATTTCGTCATTCATAATTACTATGATCATCATACGATTTTAATTATCACCGTTGGCAAAAATACGTATAGCAAATTTTGTTTTTACATATTAATGCGTGTCAAGGATTTGTGTCAAAAACAACAAAAGAACCTGAGACAAAAGCACACGAATAGGTACATCGTTTAGGAACGTGACCCAAACCTCCAGTGGCCGCGACTCGAAAAGTTTTGCAAACATCAGGTAAAAATGTACAATGTGCTACTTGGTGTTGAGTAGAAGTGAGTATGTATGTGTGTTTGTATATGTTAGTTTTTTGGCGCGCATGAATCTAATTGCACTTACGCCATCGGTGCGGTCGTCGTCGTATGGAATCTCCACGTTATATCCGTTGCTGATTAAGTCGTCCACCGAAGTAGGTCTTTCGAGATATCGCTAAAAAGTCCAGTTTCAAACGTTTTATAAGTCACAGTGACATTGCATGAAGTATATCGAACGTTCAAAAGTGCTATTCAGTATTGTAGGTATTATAATAACGCAAACGATATAGTCGGATCGAGTAATGTAATATTTCGTCATGTGTCGTAAAACATAATAATATTATATAAATCGTAAAATATAGTCATAGGCAGATTTGTCCTCAAACGTCAAATTATTTTGGGTTTCGGGGGACTTTTTTTTAGGGGGGTATGTGCATAGACCGCGGACACTTACCGGTTCGGCGTCTTGTTTGCTTTGTGTGGCGTCCCTGCGTCGACGCGCTTTGGCCTGCTTGTCGGTGGCTACGTCCGCGGTCGGCTTGTGGTGTGACACGATGGTACCGTTGCCGTCAGTGACTACCACCTCGTCAAGCCCGATGGCCTCAATGTCGGTTTTGCCTTGTTGGTGTAGGTTTCTTGGGTCGATACCCGCGATGCCGTCTTCCTTGCGGGCCACTTCATGTGGCAGACACTGGTCATACGGCACGCAATAGCACCCATAGTTGTCGGCCCTTGGGGTCTCGTAGGACGGATACCGTTCACCGGCGTAAGGTCCGTTCAGCGAATCTGTTCAAGTGAAATCACACACGTTAGCGGGTCTCTATATATACAGTAATTATCGCACACGTGCAGTGGCGTACTATCGTTGGTGGATTGTTTTGTAGGAGAGGGAGGAAAAATGATTTCTTTTTTTTTCGTCAATTACGATCACCTAATTTATAAATTAATTTTCGAAAATATTTAAGTATAAGCGGGCCGCTGCTCACACGTATCGGGCTACAATAACTATATATTACTCGATTGTGGAGGTGCATTGATGTTGAGTTGTTTCTTGTAAAGTGGGCCACCTGGAGTCTCGTAGTTATCGAAGCTGCCCCCGTAGCTGTTGGTCAAGCTGCTGCTCTGTCCGTACAAAGATTGAGGACCGTCACCGCCTCCGTACAGCGAACCGCCGATTGGGCCACTTATTGGACCGAATCCTGAGTCAACGACGGCCGACGCGGCCTTGATACCGTCCGCGCCGTCGCCGTGATGGTAGTGATGGTGGACGTGCTGTTGTAGGCCGCCGGCTGGCAAGGCTACGGATGGAACACCTCCTAAAATTGGTTGTTTGGGCCGGTATGACTCGGCGGCCTCGGACTCAAACACCTGTGGTGGTCGGCTGCTGATGCCGTACAGTGATCCAGGCCTGTTGCGTATGGGTGGGCCGGAGCTGAACGAAGACGGACCGCCGCTGCCGTATGACGACGGTGGGCCGTTACCGTACGACGATGGGCCATTACCGTAAGACGAACTGCCAGACGGGTACGGGACGGGACGTGGTGGGCCGTATCCAACGGATGACTGCAGTGGTGATCCGGTCGACTTAATCGGTATGGCGGCGATGGGACGTCCGACTGGTTTCAGTGACACGGGCTGCGCGTAAATCAAATCTTGAGGACCGATGTAACGTTTGGGTTCCACCAACTCGTCATCGTCACACTGGAAACAAATTTAAAAAAAAACTGTTAGTATATAACTTATATCCTATTGCATGCGTCTGCCGTTCAAGCCAAAATCCGATTGTATGATGTCTACATAATAATATAATCGTATATAGTTGGTATAACTAAACCATAGATTCGTATACATTATAAAAATTGTTTCACAATTTTAATTATTTTATTGCATCTGTACTGTCACTTTATAGATCATAGTTAATAGTGATAATCAAGTACAAAAAATTAATTTTATTAATTTTTTTAAATATTAATATTTTGTAAACCTGTGATTTTACCATTATTTCGTATTTTATACGATGATCCCCTTAGCTTATTCGTGTCTGCATAATACATATATAACGATATAGCGACAAAAATTTGTTACCTCCATAAGTCCCAAGCCGCACAGTCTATCTCTGATGAGATGTCTGGGATGAGCATCCGTCCCGTTGGTAGATGAGATTTCACTCTCTTGGCTGCTGTCGTCATTAGCCGTCGAATATGAGTCTATCGACTTGGCTTCACGGTCCGTGGCTACTAAGGAGTCCGAAGGCTTAACTTTCTGCTCCTTGGTTTTGGTCTTGTCATTGCCCCACGACCATTCCTCTGCAGTTGACGCATGCACGGCGAGCGCGATCAACAAGAACGAGCCCGTTACCAAAAATCTCATTGTGCTGTTGCTTTTTGCCGTTGTTAAACTGTGGACCAGATAGAGAAAAAAATGTTGTTATAAAAACTATATTGCTTATGATAATGATAATAATAATAATTAATATTATTTTCAGTACGAGTGTATGTCATTTTTATTTTTCAACGGTAGAAATGTTTATATTATTTATAATAGTTGTAAAATAAGTAGGTACKTATAAGAGGTAAAACTGACATTAAGACATTATTTAGGGCGCGAAGTATTCTGTGGATTGGATGGTTGTGAGTGTTATTAGTTTATTACCCAAAGAAATTGGAATGAGATGAAACAATAAGAAGGGTGTTTGACTTCTGGTGAAATATGAAGAGAATATTATTGTTATCATTCTACAGGTTATTAGGTTATCTGTAGGAAAACCTGGTGTGTGTTAAAATTGCCTAGGCCGGACGCCGGTAGACTATTTCATATAATATTATGTCGTTATGGTAAAAATATATAATATTGTGTACGACGTACGCAGTACCTACATGTTTCGATTTTAAATATTATTTTAGCGCACATATTTGCCAATATTACAGTGTCACAATTCTGCAGTCGTCAAAGTGAACTGTAACTGTAACGACTCTGTATTTGACGTTTGGGCGGCGTTTTTCGTAATGGCGCACTCTCTAGTCTGGATAATAATGAAAAAAAGTATAAACTAATTTAAAATCAACGTGGCATGCATGTGGTGAGCACGTTTTAAGCGATGAAGTAACGTGATTAGTTATTTTACGGATCTATATTATATAATGGTTGTGATAATATGTGATCGATAACACGATTGGCGTATTATTTGTCACAATATTATATGAATTCGGGGATCTATTGTTTGTTGTGAAAAAAAAGTAATAAAAATTGACAAGATTTCAAAATGACCAGTGCCAAGCGTTATAATTTATATAAACACATAATGTATATTGGCATATTGTATAATATAATAGAACGGAATAATAATGATAAAAATAATAATAAAACGTGGGTATAATATTATTAAGTAGGTATATATTGTATAATATATACTCAATAGTAATATTGAAAAAATTTCATAACTATTCGTATGTGTTGCGCGTCGTCAGGTTATTAAATAATATCAAGGCGAGGTCGTTGATATTCGTATGCCCGGCCCGAAACAACCAGAAATGATTTCAAACCACTTTACGAAGGGGTAGGTATATTACAAAATGAAATATCCATTAGAAATAGAATCCCAATACAGATTTTGAAGAAAATCTAAATTTTGTACGTAATATAGGTTCGGTAAAAACAGCCTGTGACCAACTATGCGTAGCTTGTGATCATAATAATATATAGGTAATATATACTTGAAACTATATCATTTAATATAATTTTAAAAAAATAAAAAAGTTTAAACAAATAATTATTATAATCAACATGACGTACTCATAATCACCTAATAAGTATGCGCGCTAATAATGTTTTTATTTGATTTTCAAAMTCTTTCCATTCCGATCACGCGTAGGCGGGCGGGCGGTTATACTCAAAGATGGTGTAGCGCGGCGTGGAGTGCGTGCATATTATGATAATATTGTGCAGCGAACAAAGAGAAAGCGAACGGAGTCTAAAACGCTTTCACTTTCGGTCGCCCACCGGATTTGGTTTTTTTTCCGCCGCCGTTCCCACACACGTGCTCAATGCCACGACATGCCGTCGACCTTGAAAGCTAGTATTATCATTAATATTATTATTATTATTATTATTATTATGTCATCGGCCACAAATATGAAGACGAGCGAGTGAGAGAGATGATAATATTATATACGATTTGGATTCCAAACGACCGGCTTAAACGCGATAATAAAAACGAGCACGACGCGATCGTCGTCAAACGACGAAGGGGCAGTAGCTCGGTTTATAGTGCCAAGTGGGTGGTGAGAAGGAGAGGTAAAAAATTAGGGACGCGTGAAAACAATGGTTTGCTAATTTTTTCGTTTTTCTCCCCGTACATAGAGGTACCTACGCGTAATATGTTATAATGTTTTATAATGACGACGTCGATCACGTAACATCGACGAGCGGTATGGATCGTCGTCTCGCCGAGGTCGACCGATGACAATATAATATAATATAATATAATATAATATACAATATTAAAGGCAGGCATGCGAATATTATTTATATTATTATTATAATGACGATGATATATTCATTTTCACGATGACGGCATTCGCGAAAACAATCGTCGTTCGTTTGCGCGCGTATTACATATTATTATTATATATCATATAGATGTATATTGCATTTATGTATACCTACGCGCGTGCTGGGCCGGTCGTTTTATGCTTGCCTATTACGATATTTTTATAATATAAACATGAGTCACAGAAAGCGAAATTTCGAATATTATGTAATGACTAATGACAACATTTACGCGTGCAACATTTGTTGTGAAAATGTTCGGGGGTCGTTGATTTTTTGATTTTTCTGGCTGTCTTCATATTTTTTTTTTTATTAATTTATGTGGATATTTTCTCAGCACCCTTCTTCTATTGATTTGGTAAATCTGCACAATATATAGTTTGGTATAAATGTAATTTTACATCGATATTTATTCAGTATTAACTTCAGTTCATTCATTAATCACATACAACCTCAATTTTTTCATTAATATAGCCATTTAAATTCTTAAAACTGGAATTTCCAAATTTGCTTTAAAACAACGTCGTTTTGAATTATTTAGATTTATAAGTCATCATTAGCTTAAAAATTTACAAAATGATTCTCGTTTGAAAATAAATTTCTAGATATTTGCAAAATTTGAGAAACAGTCATGCAGCATAATTATTTTGAGGAAAAAAAACGCTGCTGAGATAATTTTAATGGGAATAGTTTAAGTCAACATGACAAACGTGGTTTGTATATTTAAATACCTTCATATTAAATAAATACGTAAACGTCGAAAAGAATGCATAATAACAGACAACAGTAGTTGATATGTGCGTCGAGTTTAGTTGTAGCTATAATATATGTTGACAACTGAAACGTCAGAACGGTCTGGGATTACGTTCGAAAACTGCAAGACGGGGACAGACGTTTTCTAGAATGCAAAACAATTAGAATTTATATTGCGACAATAATACGCGACTAAACCAAATGTTGAAGTTCTCAAAAAAAAAAAAACACAATAATAAATCGAGTGTACGATACGTGAGTATATGTATAGACTTTAAAAAATGTAATTCAAACGAGTAAATTTAATATTTATGTGTTTGCCACCCGTAAAGATTTTTAATATTTATCACTGACACCTCTCTCGCTTGTAAACGACTCTCAAGTTTAGAAATAAAATAAATAAATCAGAACATTTTTTTTCTCTGTGATGAAATAATAAAACACGCTTTTTTTCGATCAGTACGTCGGGTAAAAACACTTTAACTATATCATCATCATCCACAGTTTCTCAGTCCTCAATGCAGTCACACGGCGTGCTTTCGAAAAACGTGTTTTAGTATCCGGTCGAAACGGCAAGCACGCGGTTCACCCGTACCACTTTGCAATAATTGTGTTACGTAACATTAATGTTATGTACACGGGTCGCATGTACCCACTCGGTGGGCGCGTGAAGGGTGGTTTATTCTGCGGACACGTTTTCTGCGTGAGCCGTGGCTGTCGTCGGAGCTGAGTTCCAGGAAATTCGGGCATTATATGATACCGTTKAAATGTGATGCGTTTGATAACAATATTAATAATAATGAAAACAATACAATAACCCACATACGTACTCAGTGTATAATATACATACAATACACTACACTAATAAACTTGGATCGTTGACGAAAATTTAATTTTTCTCATCGTTATGCAATTACCGTTGTTTTTAAGTTTCATCTCCAACGTAGATACCACACCACGTGTCGTTATGGTAAAAATGAAGCTTTTCGTAATACTATACTAAATTTTTATACAATGATATCGTTCGCCATATTATATAATTACCGGGATGATGAAATAACACGACATTTCGACACTCGTGGTAGTGTGGCACCCTCCTCCCAATCGCTCAATGACCTTTTATTAAATTTACTGATCTTAATGCTTCGGAACGTTCAGTGAATAAATACGAGATTTATATTATATTGACTTAAGTAGTATAATATAACTATGTATAAATAATAAATACAGACCATACAATATTTGTTTGCTGTTATTTGCACAAGTAAAAATAAATTGTTATACGAAACAAACAGAAAATAGAGTAGATAATAATAATAATAATAATAATAATAATAATAATAATAATAAAAATAATAGAAAATCAAAACAACTAACTAGGTAGCGATGATTTTACGTAACGTGAAATATAATAATAATAATAATAACATTTTGAGAAATTCAAATATTGCGTGATAGCGATCAGCAGCATCAGCCTACGCCCGGCACGACGCGGACGTCCGGAACTGGACGTGTTCGGCCCACGCAACTGTGATACACATAAAATTGCTTACACCTGCAATAAACACGTTGACGAGCCGAAGATCGAGGCAGAGAGAGCTATAGAAGAGAGAATGAGATAGACAGAAAAACGATTTAAAAGCGGAAAAAGAATTACGCGTACGACGATCGTAATAATAAGACCACGGCTCATCACGATAGAGGGTTATTGGCGTGCGTTGTTCGAACGGAGAAAGTGAATAGTATAAATTATAATATTATATAGGAACCTATTACCACGGTATCGGTGACCTCGGCGGTGACTGCATCGTTATGCCTACATGACGTACTGCATTACATTAAAATAACTATTACCATCATGTTTTTTTTTGTAATGGATTATTTAACGGACCAAGCACACCGCCTTTACACGGTAGTAAATATAAAAATATTATTATGTTTTTGATTCAAAGTGGTTTTACATAATATCTCGTTTATCGTATCGTTAATCGTTATAATAATTTATATACCGTTGCCCGTCGTCGTTTCCTCGTCCAACCTCTTTATTATATGATACTACAGTTATTATTTATATTGGTAGTATTCTGTGACAATTTCATAGACATATGTCTATACTATATAGTATCGCAATAATAAATTATATAAAGTCAACGGTAGACGATTAACGTTAAACGTGATGAGATATCTCGCTGACCATCCCGCCGAAGCATTAAAATAAGGGTGGTGGACATATTTTGGCGTGAATTCTGAAACGTTTGGGTATCGGGGATGCAAACGAAATTTATCTTTCAATCCAGATATACATTTCAATTTATTTACAAATAATATTTTTTTTATAAACCTAATTATTAACTGCAGTATAGCGTATTATAATAACTAAAGTGTATGTGACTTTTTAAAATAATTTATTCGATCGAATTTTACTTTAGTAAAATGTAAAAATAAACTAAAATTTAAGTTAAATAGTAAATATCTCTGCAGGGTCCACCGCCATAATATACTTAAGTTTAAATTGTTTATTGTAATTCATTATTATTATTAGTAGTATACTAGTATAGTAGTAGTAGTAGTAACTTCATATATATATAATGACTATTGGTTAAAAGGTAATTGAAAAAAATTTACAAATTAATTTACTACTTAATACCTAATTAGTAGTAGTTTTAGTATAGTAAATAACCTATTATAAAATGTCGATCAGATATTATAACGATGATGTGTGTTTAAATTACATTTCAATTACTCGATCATAAAAATGCTCAGTTTAGATCAAAAACAAAATGTTCGACTTATAATTAATAAATGCATTATATATATATAATGCTTTACTATTTAAAATCTTTTAAATTTCCTAAAAGAACTCTAACTAAAAAACTAAAAATATACAGATACCCATAATAATTGTATTCAAATAAATTTAATAACACAATATTTTCAATTAACATTATACGTTTTATTTTTTACTACCACATTTTAACGGGAGAAATTAGAAGTCTCAAATATTTTAATCCATTTAGCTATAAAAAAGTACTGATGAAATTTAAGCCTACATTATTACACAATATTGTTCTATATCAATTGATAAATTTAATTTAATTTAATTTCTTGTTTCAAATTATTTGCAGGTGTATAATAGATCAAGTTTTAAATTATAAAATAAATAAAAAATAACTTACCGAAAAGTAAGAGAACTTTAACAATTACAACTCGTAATCAAAATCAATAAATGAAACAAAATATTACCTTTATCAGGATATCCAATGCGTTGTTGTGACTTTCGTCCTAGAATATACAAATACGACAGAGACGCAAGTTCAACAGTGTTTATGTCTCTTCACTTGGACGTCCGTAATATACTTTCTCCAACGATCACAGACTGACTTGGGATTACGGTAACAGCAGGATTTATTATGTATTTTTCTGTCCCTACTATTTTCGTTTTTAAGACGCATCCGGCCACCTTCTATACCTGTATAATAATGCATAATAATATTCACCCCCACCGTGGGGTCACCTCCACGGCGGCCACTGTGCAACACTATTATTGGTAGTAAGGCACGCCGAAAAACAACAACAAACCGACTAAGGCCGTTCACTCTCAGCGGCGGAAAAAACCGATTCTTCGCAACAATCAATGCCATTCGATGCTGGCACGGCGGCGGTGGTGGACAAACCGTGTTGCAGGCTACCGCGGCGGAGACGCTCGCGTTCCCGGAAACCGTCAAGGCTCTCGTCGGCTAAAAACGGCCACGGTTGTTTCTTAAACAGACCGGTAAACCGGATCTATGTTCTGTGATGCAAATCTATTGTTTTCTCCGGATCTTAATAGTCATCATCGACTGCCCTATGACGTTATTAGATGGGTAGCTAATGCATATAATCAAATATATGTATATATCTACCGTTTTACCTATTCGTAGTTCGTACTCTATTGCACGGGCCAAGTCTTATCCGATTTTAAAACCATCGAGTTATGCATATTGTATACTGTTACTTAACGAGTCATCTAGCCGATTTATTTCTCGTTCTCATGAATCGAAAATAGATGTCAATCGCTGATGTAATAGAAAGTTCGCGATTATACGTCAATTATAGCAGTGGTTTCTTCAGCTGCAGCGTGATGTGCCGACGCACCACCGCATGCACTAACACGAGATACAATAATATTATACGTAATATACTTAATAACAATCAAGTAATCACCTATTATATAGGTATATTAGGCGGGTGATTCATTTATCGTAAGACGCTCGTAATTTCAAAAATAATTTACGTTTTTTAAAATATTTTTTACAAAGGTAACTTAAGAAGGTTTAATCTAATAATTTATTAAAGTAAAATATTTAAAGTATTTATTTTCCGTTAAAATATTCAAAATTATAATCTTTTTACCCCAACATTTTTTAAGTTTAGTTATACATAATATGTACATCGCGGTCAAAAGAATATAAGTAGGCTGATATAATCTGGATTCCGCGAGGAAAAAAATAACCGAATACTATGGTATTGTCATAATATTATGACACGAAAGAAAAATTAGCCATAAATGAAATTATTTATTTTAATTTTATTAGTAAAATGATTTAAGATTGCACACAAGGTATTTCAACAGACTACTGTAATGAAACTGCAACAGATAACCTAAAGGTGTCATATAATATTGCTGGTCTTTCTTTTGTGTTAGAGTAAATAACATAATATAGATCGACAAAACAATTTTATAGCCATGTTTCACGGACTTCTTTTAGAAGAACGTGCCGATAGTTTGAAATTTTCTAATAATAATATAATATTATAATAACTAATGACATATTAACCGAGTATGCAATATTTCGTTGACAACAAAAAATGTATTTTTCAATGTGTCACTAGTCTTGGACGTTTTGATGTTATGTGTATTATTTAAAATAGAACAAAACTTAATGTAAATTTGTAACACCTATATTWTGGTATATATGATTGAACGGACGTAACACTCAACCTGCTCACCACGTGTACAAAATTTAGAAATGTAGGTACGATGATTATGTATAGTATTGCATCAATTGTATGGTGACTCATATAATATTTTACCTATACATAGCCAAAATACAACTAAGTTAATAATAAATATTATTCTTTGTTTTATCTTTTATGACCTAATTTTTTGATAAATATTTATTATTATTTTGTATAATATTTATGAAATATTTTTGTGTCAAAAATACGAGTATACATCAAAATGGTAAAATAATCGTAATAATATACATTACTCTCTGGTAAGTTAAAATACAGTTAATTTTATAACTTTTGACGTTTAAAATGTTAAAACTTTAATAAATATAAAAATTTTAATAGATATGTAATAACTATCTACCTAATAAGAATAAGTTGTTTTTTTTACCATATGTATTTTAGTATTTATAGATTAATTAACTTTAACCTAGCTATAGGACATATAGGGCGTTTAACAATAATTTTCAGAAAATCACTAGTGATAGGTACCATATTTTAAATGACATTCATAGTTGTATATATAAGTTAATACAAATATCTATTATTATTCAGTTTTCTTTGTTTATAAGATATAGCCTATGCAGGGTTACCATTTTTAATTGTTTTTAAATAAACTTTGAAAACTATTAGTTTCCAAAGCAACGTTATTTCACGTAGAATAAATACTTTTGCTGTGTCAGACAGTATATGTATATTTAAAATATTTAAATAAACGTGTATAATGTATTCTACGTTCTTGTGAAGATCTGTCAATTTAAAATTGAAATTTAAAAATTAAAATTTAATTAAATTTTAAATTTAAAAAGAAAAAATATTTCGAAGATTTTATAGGTAAAATATAATTGATTAAATGCTCATTTACATAATATAGTACTTATAATAATAACAAATAATATTTTTATAACTCTATTTTGTAGCTATTATATTTATACCCTTATTACTCATATTATATATCGTATGTTTATTAGGTACCTACACTATTCGTTTAAGAAGCAATAATATAATATAACTAAAATTTCAAAAATATATTCGTACAATATCATCGGGAACTTACATGCATATACTTCGTCATGTAGATTGTATCAACATACATATAATTATGTACTACATTAAAACACTTATGCCAGTAAAACTATCCTACGTAAAATGTTGAGCTGAGAGAAAAGGTTCAGTAAGTTGCAGTATAGGTAATAGTCGTATAATATTTTATTACGACGGGTATCTCCTACGTAAAAAAAAGGTGAAATTTATATTAATATATGTATATTTATTGTTATTTCATTAATTATTTACGTCTACCAGTGCTAATAGGTTTCGATATGAAACCTTTTTTTTTTATGAACACTAAAAATTATTGATTTTGAAAACATAATAATACCTAGTAATACAATAATAATATAATCATTGATTATTATATAGTGTTACAATTGAAATAGGTTTTACATATCATGGCTATTATAGTATCAGTGGTACCTATACTATATTCGTAGCTTCGTTTGAATAAAAATAATGATAACCAATTAATATGATGTTATTCACGGGTATGATTATTAATAATGTAGGTGCCTAATGTCGTGGAAAAGTTTTTGGTTTTATCGATATTGCCATACGTCTAATATTGATTGTTTGTTGGTAAAATTGCATGTTATTAACTGTGTGTCCATATTTATATGATGTGTACCTATATTAAGCAGACAAAGAAAATGATGTGAGTGGGTTTACACTAAATTTGAAAGTTAGAATAATATTCATCATTGTTACTTTCGAATAATTTTTTTGAGCGAAGGTGTTCATTTGCAAAAAAAAAAAAAAAAACATTTCGGTTCTGGTACCGGTAAACACCAGTAATTAAAAGTATATTTTTTTTCAAAAAAAAAAAAAAAAACCAAGTATAAATTAATGTCAAGCGAAAAAAATAATACCTACATGAATTCTATCGTCGTTACTCGTTAAAACGTAGTTTGACTGCTGTAGGTAAAGCAGGTAATAAGGTAGGAAGCTTTATATTTTTGAGAGAATATTTCACATAACATCTCACTTACTTGCCGATATTATAATAGTAGTAACCATATAAAGCTAACCACCTACCTAATATTATAATATAAATAACTCTTGATTATACACATTGAGAAAAATTAATAATATCATTGGTACTGTATATTTTCATAGGTTTAACTCGTGAAGGAAAAATCAAGGAGCGTGCCATATAGAAGGACGGAATGGTGACAATAGTAATATGTCATATAGGCATTATAAATTATAAAATACTTTTTTATTTATATGTTATTTATATTGTATTGATATACATTGTATAACAAATTGTCAACTCCGTGCTGAAGTTAACAATATTGGTGGTTAAATTTCCATAGACGATAATGTTATGTATTACAAAGTAATATATGTACTTATATGCACTAATTAGTAATAACTATATGTATTTGCCTTACCTACATATTTTTTTTTTTAGGTCAGTTGTACAATATCTTAAAAGATTACGAAAATATTTTAACACTTATCGTTTAACTTTTACGCTGGCTTCGATCACCGAACGGATCATAGTATATTTGAATGTTAAATATGTTGAATAATTAATATTAATAAAAGAAAACAGCGGAATATACACTGACTTCGACATAACAATTTCCCGTTGGTAAGCCAATTTAGAATTATACACGGGTTTTGTCTCGTAACTAATTTTTTCTAAATTCTGAATTTTTTTTTAAATCATGTTTTACGTATCGTAGGATCATGTTTATTAGTTTCTATCGCGGCTGCACTTTAAACCGTGTTGCATAATAATATAATACTCCATTATTTAAATCACATGAAAAATTCATAATTCTGTATGAATAGATATGGAAACAATTAATTTTAAAATGTTATTTCTGAGGACTAAATTATAATAATCGTTAATGTAGATCAAAACGTTCAAATTATTAAGCGAAAACACAATTATTATTATTATACATATAATATGTAACAACAACCCCGTTAGGCAATCACGAAACGTCAAGTGTGTAGTGATGTAACACAATCGTTTGTATTTCGATATTAATGTCATTTTTTTCCCGTTGAATAAAACGCAGTTTAAGTATTTATACATATGTATGTATAATTTATTCTACAGATATAGTTACTTGCTGTACAGGTGCGGTAGTGTAGGTATAGTATTTAAACCAATGTAAAGAGATACACGGGATACGGCTTGTATTACAATTTATACATAGTTTTACACAATTGCGATTGAAAAGCGTAATGGCCGCGGATTAAGAAACGCATAACATATAGAACGCGTCGGTCATAATTCAGTTTAGCTGAGATTTTAATGGATTTCTCAACGACACATTTCGTCTACATAATTCGCAATGTGCCACTGAAATCTTACTGTAAAAATGGATACTTTAGTTTGTTGT